AAAAATAGCGGCGTGTGTTTTTATTTCGGCACCAATCAAAAGTCTTCCCTCCAAATCCCTAGACACATTTTGGAGTCTATCTTGATGTATATAAAGCGAAAACTTAATCGAAACGAAGAGACTGCAAAGTGAGGCCAGGTCACTCCGGTTTAGGAGTCGACATAAGCTGCTGATTGAATCCCGGTTACTCCGTTCAAGGAACTACGACAAAGGAAATTTGACACCGCCTGGTGAGAATTGAAAAGAAAATCAAGGTCGTTGCTTCATCTAAGAAAATTCCATCGACTGGTGTGAAAATCAATTATCCACTGTTACCCAAAAAGGTCGCTTCGGACATTGTATCTATTACAAGAAGACACCCAGAGAAGTATTACCTTTCCTGTTTCTATATTTGTTTTAATGTCGTTTGACATTATGGCCACATATTTTATATTTTATTGTAAAAACAGCAAATTTTGTTTGATGTATATCCTTTAATGTAAAAATAATATGATTTTATATCCTTTGTTATAAAAACGGCGTATTTTATTTGCATTATGTCTTTTTCATTTGCACATAGATGTTATTGGCCATTATTTGCCACACAAAGCACTTAATTTGTGTGATTTCTTTCATTTTGTGCAGTCAATAAATTTAACGTATTTCTTTTTCTAAACTCAGCTCGTGACGTCTGTCATTGGCATGCGCTTTTTGACTTATACTTTAACTTTACTACAAACATTTGCTTGTACTACTTTTATTCGTAGGGTTTTTACCTGGAAAAATCCTATAGACTTTAGTAGTAACCGGAAACTAAATACTAAACAGAATATATATATATATATATATATATATATATATATATATATATATAGCGTGTTGGAATCATATTTTTAAATAAATAATTATATATATATATATATATATATATATGTATATAATTATTTATTTAAAAATATGATTCCAACACGCTACATAAGAGTTCTCATGTTTCGAAACAAGAGCCGAAAACTTCAATATAATTATTTGAATTAAAGTACTAAGCTCTGTTCCATCTTCAAGCGAAATTTTTTTTTGGAATAAATTATTTCTTAAATTTACGCGTTTTATAAGCATATTCATTATTAAAATCAAAATTACTATGGTAACGGCTAGAGCAATTGTTTAAAGAAAAGGGGCGTAAGGTGTTAATAATTTGTATCAATATCTCAGTTACATTCACAGATGTCAAGTCAGGGTAAGGTTGGGGTGTCTAAATTTAAAGCGGGAGATGACATCGCCTAGTCTGGTTAGGCGTCTATGGAGATTTATTTATTTTTTTATTTTATTTTTTATTTTTTTCTGAAAGGGTTTTGTGTATATAAAAACTGTCGTAAATCGCTAACATTTGTTTTTTGATGACTCCATAAAAGGTTATCTTTTTTTGTAGGGCATTTAAACTATTTATTAAAACGAGTTCTTTCCTATTTTCTATATATTTTTCCCATATATATATATATATATATATATATATATAAAAGTGAACATAGAAGTCAACACTTAGAGGCGACAGTCTGTTTCATGCTAGATGCAATCGTCAGGCCACCAAATATACAAATCTTAAGACTATATTTCTTCATATATATATATATATTATATATATATATATATATGTGTGTGTGTGTGTGTGTGTGTGTGTGTGTGTGTGTGTGTGTGTGTGTGTGTGTGTGTGATAAATTTGAGTATGTAATCTTGACGGTGTTATACGTTATTGACATTTGGAAGAACGTTCATAAAAATATGTCCCGAAAATAATTATCGGATATTATTTGGGGACATATTTTCATGAACGTTTTTGAAAAATATCAATGACTTTTATATATATATATATATATATATATATATATATATATATATATATAGAGAGAGAGAGAGAGACTGACAGACAGACAGACAGACAGGAGAGGTAATATTTATAGGGTTTGATTATCAAAAAAGGGGTGCGTATTATGCGTGAGTAGAAGCATTTTCACATACATTCAGTACACATTTTGGGGTGTGTATTATGGATAAAGGCGTATTATACATGGGGAATTACGGTAATGATTAAAATGAAAAGATTTCCGTCAGTTATAGTTAAACAACAAAGCGGACATTATTTCCAATAAATTTCGACTCATACTTTCTAATTTTAAATATATTTTCCTTCCAGTATGTGCCATGTCCCCTTAGCATGTGAGCGATAAAGTCTGTGTGCAATTTTATACACTAATAGTTTTTGGAGGTCTACATGATAGAATTAGTCTGTAAAAAATATTTTTAATCATGGCTCGTCTATTTTTTTTTTCTTATTCGAAAAGCGTCCATTTTTCTTTTTATTTGCATGTTTTTTATTCTCTTCGTCATTTTTGCTAATACCCCACAACGTTTGGGCTATTGTTATCTCCGATATTAATCAGGTGTATGTCGATTCAGGTAGCCTACAGAGAATTTCGAACTGAACCGTTTATATCATCTCCAGGGAAACATTGTTCTCGTTCCTCTAGTCACGCCCAGGGATACCTTGTCTAATTTAGCAAGTTGATTTAGTTAAGCTTATATTTCAACCAAATTTCTAGTTGTTATTTTAGTTTACTTTACTCTTCTCAGTTCTTGCTGGGCCAATTTCGCCTGAGTTCAAGTACATTCTACCCGGTTGAGGGATTGATATCGCAATTACAATATCACCAAATTCACGGATCAACTTTTAAACCTACCAGGCTATTTGGTTTGTAATATTTGGAAAGTGAGCCAGGATCACCCATTTTTTTAAATCGTTTCACCCCAAGCAAGACAATAATGGCACTAAAACACGGGAGCTTACAGGAAATGAAAGAGAAGGTGCAGCACTGACGCCATTGTAAAAAGCTTTGTGATCGCGTGCCACAGGCAAAGCCACTTGTGCCCGTCCTGCGATTTAAATTAGCAATCTTATGAAATTCAAATATTTTTTCCGGATAATAAGATGTTCCGGAATTTCGGTGGTGCGCATATATCTCGTGTTAATCAACAAACCGGACACTATTTCCAATAAATTTCGACTCATACTTTCTAACTTTAAATGCATTTTTCCGGTATGTGCCGTGTCCCCTCAGGATGTGAGCGGCCATAACCTACTACCCCACCCAGTTACTCTTCTGACACCCTTTTATATAAGCTAGTTAGGTAGAACATTCACTGTTTCCTCTGCCTCTTGCTATCAATATGTCCTCTGAGTGTCAACATCTCCAAACCGTCTTTTCTCCTCATGAGTCCCAACTCGCTTGATGAACACTAACTTTCCCAAGAGTATTTGCACAAAAGTGAGTATAACGAAGCAGAGAGGTGGGGCGAAGAAGCGTTAGGTAACAAAAATGGCTGCCTCGGAAACCACAGCAACTTTAGGAATAAAGTTCCCACATGACCGATTTCCGAACTGCTGATTTCCCCGCTATTTTTATTAGCATAAGGCATTTTACAAAGACCCAGATCTTGACCAGTTGCAGAGAGCCTCGTAATTAGACATGCCAAGCTGTCCTGCTGCTATCTGGGGAACCCCCAGATGTAACTAGAATTAGCAAACATGTCCACACGCGATCCGGTGGCCTCTTTTGCGCCCGTATCGACGCGATTTCACCGCATTACATCTCACCAGAAAGGATATAAAGTTAATCAATCAATTATAAAAACTACGATCCTTTCATTAGGTGCATAGAATTAAGAGTTGTACTTCGCCTTGATTGGTTACCAACCAAGGCTTAAGAACCTAATCTGCCTTATTATTTAGCCAATAGCTACAGACTATTCATAGATTCATAACTTTCCCAAGAATATTTGCACGAAAATGAATATAACGAAACTGAACTGGAACGCGAACGCGGCTCTCCGGTTTCTCGTTCCGGCTCGCTATGCATTGCACAACAGTAAATAAAACAATTTATTTAAATATTAAGGTGTTCGGAAATTAATGACGCTTTACAAAAAGGTTATCAAAATTAAATAGAAGTTATATTTATTTAAATATTAGTGTGTTCGGAAAATAATGTTGTTTTCACAAAAAGGATATCTATAAAATGAATGCGAGTTTCAATGTGTCACTGTGTCACACTTTTTCAATTAAAGGAACACAACTCTAACTTTCAATAGCTCATGTTACAGAAATTATGGATCCTCAAGTTTTCGTTACTGCGATTATCTTCGGCGATTTTTTACATGACTTTTTACGAAAAAAAGACTTTGGGTCTTTAAATGGGATCTCCTGCTTGAGATCTCGTGGACTGGCGCTACATAATCACAAAGAACTGTGCCAAATAACAGAAAATACATCACTTGAGGATTACTAACACCAGCAACAGCTAAAATGTATATCAAAATGTAAATCGAAGAGAAAATAATGACATAATTAAGATGTTGACGTTGAATACTAAAGGTTAAGAATGAATGGTGCTACCAGCACCAGGTCATGTCTGTTGAACTCTCTACTTTGGCAGAGAGGAACCCGGACAAAGCTTTGCCGAAGGGCAGGGTTTCGTCCGGGGAGGTAGACAGGCCCTGAACCCGTCTAGGCGGGTTCAAAGGGTATCTTTTTGGCCGAGCCTACGGGCTCGGGAAACCCACGTTAAACTCGGCCTTGTGTCACATGCAACCCTCGTGGGGGGTACTAGTGTACTGTACTGTACTGTACTGATGCGGCATTCACCCTGGGCGGATTGAGCCGGCTTCTTCCTGTTATGAGAAGAAGATTCTTGGGATAAATTACAGAAGTAGGGTACCCAGGCCTACTCGGATAACGTTCTTGCTTGCCGCGGGGTTCCCACAGACGCAGAGACAGGAACGACCAGAAGCCGCCGGTTGCCGATGCAGACGCTCCTTGGATTTTCACCAGAGCCCTTGTTAGCCGGCGTGTGTGTCAGACCTGTTCGCCTTGGGTGGCCCTACCAGGAACGATGTTCCGGGCGGCATAGCTCTGACACTACCGTTTACACCCCCCCACCGCCTGTGAGGTAAGGGTTGGACTTTGGGGGCTTACAGTACCAGGTGTTCCCAAGCGGTCCCCCATCTAGACCTGGCTCTACGATGCTTAACTTCGGTGATCGAACGAGAACCGGTGTTTTCAGCGTGATTTGACCGTAAGCTTCGATCGATCACCGAAGTCGTGGGGGTGGCTAGATACCGAATACTAAAGGTTAAGAAAGAACGAGGAATTCTCTTGGAAGTTAGCATCAGCCATGCTAGGTAGAAAGGCGTTTCTCGGGTGATTAATAAAGAGCAGTTTTTTGTTTGTTTGTTTTTGAGGTATTAAAATTAACAAGCTATTCTTTGCCTCAATTAACAACAGACTGTTGAACTGTTTTTTTATATCAGCCGCCATTTTGATCTTATCGAGCTGATCGTATTTAATATCGAGATAGAAGCAAATGGTTGTATCATCCGCAGAGATAGAAAGTTGAGAGTTGATGATATCAGGGAGCTCGTTGATGAAAATTAAGAACAAAATAGAAACATGGATAGAGATCTGGGGGACACATGCATTAATACGAAAGGATCTAGAAAAATTGCTGTTCAGATTTGATAGGAAAGACTGAATCAAGTCAAATATCCGTATGGAAAGACCATAACATTTCATGTTGTGAAGCAGACAGGTTTTTTAAACCCTGTTGAATGTTTTCGGGATATCAAGGCAAAATCTTGAGCATCACCATTTTTAATCTACAGCTTCATAGACTCTTTCCGCATTAATCGTAAATACATCAGCAGTTGTTCCCGGGAAGCAAAAGCCAAATTGTAGGCCCTAATTAGTTTCCCAGAAGGAGGTAATACGCTAATAGGCTGATTGCTAAAAGGGTCGGACGGTTCACTTGAATTCTTAAAGACTGGAACAACAGATAAGAATTTCAAACAAGTATAAAAGCAAGAGATTACATCTCATACCGTCTTCAAAGTTTTTGTAGTTTTTTTGATAATAATTATTTCTTCTTTATTTTCCGTGTCCACTAAGGACGTAGGCGATTGTAGCTCTCCACAAATTCTTGTCTTTTGTAGTTCTAACAACTTTTTATGTTGTGAAGACGATCAGTATGCCAAACCCTGTCGAATGTTTTCGGGATATCAAAGCAAAATCTTGAGCATCACCATTTTTTATCTAAAGCTTGATAGACTCTTTCCGTAATGATCGTTAATGCATTAGCAGGTGTACTCGAGAAACAAAAGCCATATTGCTTGTCTGAAAGAAGGTCCTGCGATGCGAGATGCTTAAATAATTCAGCGTTGATTAGGGCCTGTTGTTGTTTACGAAAAAGAGACAGAAGGATAATAGACCGAGAGTTGGAATGGCCAGATGGTTCACCTGGATTCTTAAAGACTGGAAGAACAGAAGAGTATTTCTAAGAAGTAGGAAAACAAGAGGCGGAGAGGCATTTATTATAAAGTCTAGATAGAACAGGCGCCAGTCATTGAGCACATTTCTTAATGACTATGTGTTGCAAGTGAGTTATCAAAAACAACAGTTTAAATTAGAATTGATTTTACAAGTTTATTTTTTTTTTTTTTTTTTGGTGCCGGGAAACATGATGCAGAATAGAAATTAGGGAAGAGAATTTTTAGCTGTGAATGCCTGTTTTCAAGAGTAAATGTTTGTGTCATCAGTATAGGTACCAAGTTGAGAGCTGAAGACATCAGGAAGTTTACTGATGAAAATTAAGAACAACACAAGACAAAGGAGAGAAGCATGGGGGGGGAACTTGCATTAGTACCAAAAATTAGCCGTATTCTTTTCATTAACAAAAGCCTTAATTCATGAATAATGAAAACTTTTTTACATACTTAAATTACAATATCTGTCTATATCACTGAGATGAGGTATTATGAATACTTACATTATACGGGCTGTTATCCTCATCTGCATTGCCATATTCACAACGTTTCGGTCGTTGTACGCACCGGCTTTCTTTGCAGCATGCCTCCGGAAGAGGGATGGTACGTGGAACTAGAACAATCTACCCCAGTGGACGAAATAAAGGGTTCGGTTCGAAATTCCAATCACCTGAAGAAGGCCGGGGCGTACAACGGCCGAAATGTTGTGAATACGAAAATGCAGATGAGGATAACAGTCCGAATAATGTAAACTTTAATTGAATTTCTTACATTAATTGATTCATATTTTTTTACAGCTTGTTAACCCTTTCGAATTTATTTAAAGCCAGAAAATATTTTAGATTGTAAGAACTTTTTAAGATGATAATGATTTTAAGGATACAAGTTTTACTATTTAATCAAAAGCTAGGGGGGAGAGAGAAGAGGTTGATTCAACCCTTTCCCAAGGCTATTTGCGCTTAAGTGATTATTACGAACTCAAATGGTATGAGAATTCGGCTCTCCACTTAGCAATTCCGAGCCATTAACCATTACATTACCCACACATCCAAGCTTGGTATTCCCAAGCGGTCCTCCAACTAGGTACTGACCAGATACGACGTTGCTTAACTTCGGTAATCGTACGGGAACCGATGTTTCAACGTGATATGGCCGTAAGCCGGAAGAATACTGAGAATACTACGGACGGGACAATTTCTATACTAAAGGTTCACCCGATACAAGGCTCAAGAGGCAATCAGTGTAGAATATTACTGAATGCAAGAGGAAGTATGTGAATTATGTCCTAACGAGAAAGGATGTTTCCTCTTTCACTGAGCATACTCAAAATATCCATGATTTATTGAGTGATTCGTTTCTTATGGTTTATCAACCCATTGCAGGTTATTCAATGCCGAAAAATGTTTTGAAGATAATGTCGCTCCAGAAGGTATTATTCTTTTTAAATTCAAAGTCGTTCACATTCAATTTTTTTTTTTTCCAGAAAGTGAAAATAGATACGCAGTCTTGCTTTGACGAAAACAAATTCTACTTTTCATATTATGGCGTCTCCTCATCAGTTTCCAGTGCTTCATTTAAGTTTTCAAATGACAGATTTCTTAGCACTATTAACCGACGTCAGATCTTAAATAGGGCTTCCACAGAAATCGAACTGTAAAAAACATTCGACTAAAAATGGAAATATATATCTAAAAAAAGCATTCTTACTGTATCTGAAGTTAAGCATCTAGGTTCTCTTTTAAATGGATTTTTTTTTCATTTAATTTTATCTTCTGTTTTCTTCATTCATTTTTTGGTTCTCTTATTTTGAATGGCACAAAATGGCGACGTATATTTGTGTCGTTTTTTTTTTTTCCTAAAGGGGAGATAATTTGATTTTATTATACGCGATTCATTTTTAAAAATTTCTGACCAGCGTTGTTTTTTCATGGTTGAAATATACTGTGAAGAGTCTCGGGACAATATGATATTTTGTGGCTTGGGCGGTGGCCGTTATTTTGTGTATTTAATTGTTTTTTGGCTTGTCTTTTGTAACAGACATAAGAACGGAATTTTCTACTTACCACAACACTGCCTGAACTTAGCAAAGCACAAAGGGTAGAAAAAAACAGAGCCCAAAGCCACGCTGCTACAACATTCTGATGCTAAAAATAAAAATAAATAAATCACATATCATATCTATATCTATCTCTATCTCTATCTCTCTATCTTTCTAAATATATATATATATATATATATATATATATATAGAGAGAGAGAGAGAGAGAGAGAGAGAGAGAGAGATGTAGAAAAAGTATATATAAATATATATGTAGACAGGAATAAATAGTTTCCTATTATCTTTTCATTGAGATAAATATATATATATATATATATATATATATATATATATATATATATATACACACATTTATAATTAAGTAATTTGTCGAGTCTAGAAGAAACCTCAACAGAATGCAGAAAGCACTGAACAGTCGTTTCGTCCTATTATGGGGACTCATCAGCAGTGCGCATCCACTACCAAGAATTGAAACCCGGACAGTTAAGTTATCAGACAAACGTCATATTAAACTGTTTCAACGGGCCTCGGTGACGAAGAAGTAGCGAATCAGACTCGATATAGCGCCGCTCGATTACATATTCCGTGGTGGAACTCATCCGGAGTGCCTTGGGGATGGTAGTCGTGTCTCGTGGGGGCACAGTCCTATAGGTAAAAGCGAGACTCGAATCCCAAATATAGAGTCCCAAATATATGACAAAACGGCCGTCCAGTGCTTTCTGCATTCTGCTGAGGTTTCATCTAGACTCAATGAATTACTTAATTATAATTATCTCAATTTCTCCTAATTTCTATCACTCATATATATATATATATATATATATATATATATATATATATATATATATATATATATATCAATAAAAAAGTGGAAAACTTCACATTACAAAAAAAAATCATAACACCAATATAATACACCTTGAAAATAATAAACGAAAACTTCAAATTCTCGAGACTCTCTATATGAAAATCAATCAACCAACACTCAACAAAATATATTACGAATATAGCAACAACATATTAAAATGCATATAACATTTAATGTCATTTTACACCTCTTCCAATTTCCAGTCAGTTCTCTGATATTGAAACTCTTGTTCTGCAAAGAATTCTGTATCTACAATGGATAAAGAAAAAAGTTACAATAAGTTCGTCTTTGTAATTTACACCCGAAGATAATCTTGGAAAAGATCGAAAGTACATCGGTTAACAAAAACTATGGCATCTTCCTTGATGAATTTCATCTTAAAATCAAGAAACTGATTAAACATAAATATAAATTGACGCAGTATATCTAAATTATTCAATTAACCATGCTTGAATGAAGATATGCTGTCGATACATATCTATCTATCTATCTATCTATCTATATATATATATATATATGTGTGTGTGTGTGTGTGTGTGTGTGTGTGTGTGTTGTGGTGTCTTCTCTCTAATGAGTCTATTGTGGACTCTTCCACTTACTATAAAATTAGTAGGAAAGTAAGCCTCAGGGGAACAGTAGTTATCTTTGTATCTTTTTTTTTATTTTTTATGAATAAAATATGATCCCATTTTTAAAGATCTCTCTCTCTCTCTCTCTCTCTCTATATATATATATATATATATATATATAAATATAAATATATATATGTGTGTGTGTGTGTGTGTGTGTGTGTATTTTCATCTGTGTGTAAGAGAAAGAACAGATGAAGAACAG